GCAATTAGAACTCCTCCAATACACATACATTATATATAATATATTAAAAAAAACCACAGTTTTGTTGATCCAGTACTAGTGACTGGAAGTGGCTGAACTACTCGGTGAGATTTCATTGGCTTTTCCCTTAACTATCAGAGTTCAAACAGGGCAAGGACTTCATGCAGAAGACTGAATCTGTTTCTATCTGCACTCATGCTTATGTATTTTTTTTTAAATCAGAGGGCGAGAGCAACAGAGAGTGGTGATGGTGTAAGCAGAGGATCATCACCCCTCAGGCATGGGGAGAAGCTGAAAGTCATTCATGGTTACCTCAGCTGGTGAGGGAAATTGAACCCAAGCTGTTTGCTACACTGTGCATCACAAACCAGCCATCTACCAGGTTAACATCCAATTATTGACCTATGACCACGATTTCATACCCAGAACTTAAACTTGTTTGTTTGTAGATAACTATCCTTTTCTCCCTAGTGTGATCACAAATTCTTTTGTGTACTAATATTGCTTACTGGAACTGGATTTGCAGCACCTGAGAAGTTTCAGTACCATGACAACACTTTGCAATAGTGGCTAGAACAGTTCGAAATTTTCGGGGAACCAAACCTTTTCCAGTTCCTTATCTGTCCCACTTTTAAAACCATGGTATTAGTAAGATTGACATCGCTGAGTGATTCCAAGAAGCAGATGGGTCTTTGGTCTTTGGTCGCTGGAGGTGATCAGTCCATATTGTTCATCAGGTGCAAAACCGAATGCTGTTCAAGTCTTTCTTTAGGATGATGGGTTCACCACTTCCCTGAAGGGCACATAACTGAATAGGTTAAAAGATGCCAGTGCTTCACAGTGGCAGGGAAGCAGATGAAGATGGTTGGACCAAGGATAGCTTCCAGTCTACTTCTGAAACAATGACCTAGGCTCCAATATTTGGTTTCCAATAATCAATAAAAGAATAGAATGGTGCTTTAAAAAAATTTACATTAAATTTAAGGCAAACAAAAATGCCCTGAAATGAAGAGATGGCAAATCATACAGAACTCTTTGAGAGACAGCCCCATATGATTTGCTTGCCATGGAAAAAGGCCCATAACCAGTTTTCACAAACTGCCAAAAGAATCATCACTGGTCTCTTTAGATACAGGGGGTGAGGTCCTCAAGAAAGGAAGAAGCCAGCACATCTCTACCCAGCCTCATCTTACACTCTGTTCCTTCTTGAATCTTCTCAAAATCACATCATAAAACTGTCTATTCTTTAATATTCCCTTTTCATTCAAAAATAAACTGTCCTCAAATAAAGATCCAAACTCCATTGCCCTTACAAATTACCAACCCATCTTCCTCTCTTCCCAATGTTGGAATATGGGGTCACCTCCCAGATCAATGCTCAATTCTCCCATCCTTTCTTGTTCAAAAACCTCCAATAAGTCCTTTCTCCACTCCCATAGCAGTGGAGTAGACATCTTCCTTCAATCTCTGGTGAATACAAACTCCTTCACTAACATGGCTCCCAAGTATGAGAATCACAGATGGTATGAACAGCCCCACATCAGATCTTATGATGAAGGCAAAATCATTGGCGGAGTAGCTGAAGATGATGATTCAGCCTGACCCATGACCCTGAGAAGTTAATGTGGTGATGTTCTTTGACTGACTCAATGGACCTCGCATACATTGTGATAACGTTTTGCAACATTTGCGTGTGACAGTCTCCTCCCAACTCCCACTGACTCCAGCTTTGCTAGGGTTCATTGATGCCATACATCGCTCAAATGCTTCCCTGATGTGATAGGCAGTCACTGTCACCTCACCTCTCTAGTTCAGGTTTTTTTCTCTCCATGTTTGCACCAAGGATGTAATGAGGTCAAGGCCTGAGTGGTCCAGGCAGAACTCAAATTAAGCCGTGAACAAGTTACTGATCAATTACTATTTGTCGACTTTTCCCAAAAAATACGCTGATGTTTGAAAGTAGACTTATGGGAACTGATTGGATTTATCCTGCTTTTCATGGACATTGTTATAACTGCACTGGAACAGCTTGAATCTGAGAACAGCTAGTTCTGGGGCATGAATCTTACACAATGTTGCTGGAATATGGCCAGAACCCACAGCCTTTGCAATAGCGAGCCTTCAGCTAGTTCTTGACATCACATGGAATGAAGTGAATTGATGGCAGTCTGGCATCTGTGGTGGTGAGGAATCTAGGAGTCTAAAATGGATCATCACATCAATACTTCTGGCTTAAGATGTTTGAAAATACTTCAGCCTGTTTTTTTTTGCACTGACGTGCTAGACTCCACCATCATTGATTTGGGGAACATTTGTGGAGCCTCCTTCTCCATTAAGTTGTTTAAGTGCCCACCACTATGCACTAGAAACAACAGGACTGCAGAGCTTGGATCTGTCTTTGGGATGTGGGATTCATTAGCTGTTTATCACATGCTGCTTCAGCTGTTTGGCACGTAAGTTATCATCTGTTGTAGTCTCACCAGGTTGCTACCTCATTTTTAGGCTTGGTGCTACTCCTGGCATGGCCTCCTGCACATTTCATTTAGCCAACATTGATCTTCTAACATGGTGGTAATAGGAGAGGGAGGATATTCCAGGCTATGAAGTTGCTGATTGTGTGTTAGAATACAATTCTGATGATGGCCCACAAGTCCCTTATCCCTTGTGGATGCCCAGTCTTAAGTTGCTGGCTCTAATCTGAATCTATCCCATTCAGCATGGGAGACCTGCAATGGAAAAGAGGGACTTTACCTCCAACTACCATGCCATGGTGACTCCTACTGATGTGGTCATGGACAGATTTATAATCTCACCACTCTGTAGTAGACGATCAAATATTGCTTTCCTTCTGATTCCTTTACCGGCTGCACCAGGTCATCCGGTTACTATGTCATGTAGGTCATTTCAGGGGGCAATTAAGTGTCAGAACCACTTTGTTGTCAATCTGGAGTCACATGTAGGCCAGACAAAGATGGCAGATACTCCTTCCCTAAAGCACATTAGTGAACCAAATCGACTTTTACAACAATGGCATCATGATCACAATTAGACCAACAATTGAATTCCAGATTTATTACGTGAATTCAGTCATGGTGGGATTCAAACCCATGCCCCTACAGCATTAGCTTGGGCCTCAGAATTACAATTCCAATGAGAATGCCACTGCAGCACTGGTTCCCTCAAATACTGATTGTTCTGCTGGACCTGGTACTCCAACATCGCTACCACTCACATGCCAGAGCCACACTGTCAGCCTCCTCTGGCCTGGGTGCCCTGTGTCAGTTACAGATGGAAACAGGTCACCATCCCAAGGAAAACAACTTCTATTTTTCCTGGACAGTGTTCAGAAACTCTTAGGGAAACATTGCTAAATTGTGATGCAAACACTTGCCTGATTGCTATCATTTTCAGAAGTGGGTGGGGTGATCAGCATGCTATCTAATTGCCTGAAATATGAAGATCCTGACATATGGGCAGGTACATGGGACAATCTGCAGTAAAATCTGGCATTTTACCCATTCATAGATATGTTGAGATACTTAACAAGAAGAAAAATACGTCCCACCTACCCCTGAGCAGCTTTACCTCCTATTTGTAAATTTACCTTCACATTTAGTCTAAAAAAAACACAAGATTCTGCTCGATGTTTCTGACCTTACTTTGGAAGGTATGGGCCATTTTAGTACCTGCCATATTCTCACCCATGGCATTTACAAGAACCCCATTTCAGCTTGAAAGAAAGAGACTGTTCACAGTCAGTTTTACATTTGGTCACCAGCTAAATTTCAGGGCCCACAAAGAACTTGCTCCCTTTCTGTAAATGCATGCCTCTAGCCAATCACTGCCTCTCCGCTGCTGACACCCTCTTCCCTAGTCATTTCCAAATGCTCCAGTTGTCTCCTGGTTAGCTACCCATCCTCCAACCTTTAGAGCGTTATGTTGACAGATCTGAATTTCAGAGTACTGTGGACATTTTTAATTTGTAAAACAAGCACATTTTGGAGGCTGTTCATATAGCCAAAAATTGCTGTGGATGTAAATTGTGGCTGGCTACAGCACACGAGATCAATAGAATACAACACCTGAAGTGTCATAGAAACCTCAAACTGGACTGTGATCTCATGGCTACAACTATAACAAGGTGCTATCAATCCTCCACTCAACAGCAAATCATGCCCTTATGGATTATGCCCTAAAACAGATGTTGTCATTTTCCCGTTGAAGGAAACACAGGGGTAAGGGTTAAAAAGCCTGTTCTAACTCTACTAGAATGTGCTAGTGGGACTGGACATGCTCATGCACTACCAGACCGGCTTCAAGCATTAGCATGCTGTGTAGGTAACAGTCAAAAGATGGATCCGCGTTGCACATAAAAGGTCCTATAAGCACTCAGTGCTATAAAATCAGCTAGTAGGCATCCAGACATGAGGAAGACCCTCTCTCAATGCTGCAAGCTTTTCTTTAAAGAACAACAAAGTCAGGACAAAGAAACTGCAATTCCTGCAAAATTAAGAATCTCAAATTGAGTTTTCAACTGCTAACATCAAAATGTTAATCACCTTCACTGCAATGTTGAATTATCTGCTCTTCATAAACAGTTCAAAGTCTGGTCTATGTTGGTTTTAAACTTTTATCCTTTTGGACTTATTTCTGATGTGTGTATTGTGGTAGTATTTAGTGTTTAGTAATTAGTGAACTAATGTATTATTTCAAGAAAGTCTAGTTAAATTGATTCCATTTGAAAAGGCAAAGTCATTTGGATCTGAGGAGAGAGAAAAAAAAAAACTGTATCCACAAGGGAAGGGATTCTTTCTAAATTAACTTTGATGTGACCAACTGAAAGGTTGGGTGGTCAAGCTTCTTGGCGTAATTCAAGGCATTATGTAAATTTAAATGATGGCTGAAAATATTTTTAGTTTGGATTCAGTTTGTCCAAATGTCAGTTCACTATTTTCATCCGAAACATTTTTGAATGAAGCTTTTATTTAGAAGATCACCCCTGCCCAACACAAATTTAAAACAAAAACTCCAATGATCAAAATATTAGCACATTAGTCATTACAGTTAATTATATTGTTTCACCACTTCCTGTGCACGAAGCATACACTACATTTAGCATACAGCTACAATGCCAAATTACATGAGTGTTCACTTGATAAGTCTAAATTGTCTGAAGAGGATAAAGACAAAAAATTAAATCCGAATTGTTCAGTAATAATTATGAATAAAAGCTTGTATCAGTAGCCTGGCACATAAGTATCTTGAAGCTTCTTGATATACAGGTATGATGTGTATATCCCAATAACCTAAACAGGGAAAAAAAAAATTTATTAGAAGTCATTTAATTTTTTTTTTAAAACACCATGTGTACTAACTATTGTACGCTAAGAAAAAAAGGGAATAGGCCATGCATTCCATCAAACCCACTCTATCATTCAATATCTTTAATTTCAACTTCACTTTCCCATCTAAACATTAACCTTAGATTCCATTAGTTCAATTTTTTTCTCAACATTGAATATCAAAACAAACAAGCATCTGCAGCTCTTTGAAGTAGCGATTAAGAATTCAGTCATTTAATCAATAAGGTCCCACGTGGGAAATTGACAAAGAAGGTAAAAGCTGATGGATTCAGGGTAACTTGGGAAGTTAGTTACAAAATTGGCTTAGTGATAGGTGATGGAGGGTGGTGGTAGAAGGCAGTTTGTGTGACTGGAGTTTGGTTTGTAATGATTCTTGCAGTAAGCCAGTGCCGGTCCCTTACTTATTGTGTTATTTATAAATAACGTAGGTGAGAATATGGTGGGGGAAAGAGGTGCTGGGGGATTGGTGGAGATGACAAGTAAGTTTGTGGATGGAACAAAGATTGGCCAGGTGATTGACAGTGAGGAGGAAAAAGTTTTAGGTTGCAGGATATCAAATAAATTAGTCAGATGGGCAGAATAGTGGCAGATTGAATTTGATTTTGACAAATGAGGTGATGTTCCTTCTTTCAAAGTGTAAGGGAGTACACAATAAATGTTACAATTCATGCCACACAAATGCCAGGCAACAATCATCTCCAATGAGAGAAGCTAACAACCTCCCCTTGACATTCAACAGCATCACCGTCACTGAATCCCCCACTATCAACATCCTGAGGGTTATCAGGGGAAGGGTCATCAAGCTTAATCTCTTGAAGCCCCAAGGCTCTGCCAGAAGACCTTCTCTATTTAGCTGGTAACCTCTCCATATGGAGGGGTGTGGGAATGGTTGCTCTACCTTCTACAACAGTGTCCCTAACTGGGCTGTTAATGATAGTAGTTGACTGCAAGCAAGCAGTCTTTCCACTACACACCTCACCACTGGTAACATCCTGGTCAAGATCTCAAATTCAACTGTTTATCACACTGCAAATTAGCTGATGGTACTGATAAAGCTTGCAGTGGCTTGAAGGAAGCAAAGTATCCAAAAATATTCAGGGTTGCATTGATTTTGTACTCATTCTGGCAATTGGTTGCCATTATCTTTTGGGGGAAAAAAAATTCTGCATTTGCAATGTTCCTCACAACCGTAGGCACGTTTCTTAAGCACAAGTCTTTTTGGCTAGTGAGAGCATCCTTCCACTTGCAATCTTGTTACTCCATTTCCTACTTTTCAGAATGGAATCTCCATTCTCAGCCACCCCATTCTTCTGACCCTCACGAACAATGCTCAGCTATGCAAACCTCTAGAATCTGTTATGTGAAAATAGAAATGATGCATTCTCCCATCATTTTGATGAAGGGATGGTCTACAAAAAAAAAAATTACACAGTCTAGGTTGGTTTTGTTTTGAGAGCTATTAGACCTAGTCTCAATTTGAATAGCCCCCTGCAAAATCTGCATATAAACGCAAGGTTGGAGAGATTGATGGAGACATTGGATTTGCACCATGCTCATTTGGCCTGAAGACAAGTGATTCTGTTCCCTTGAAATGTCAAATATCACTTAAAGACAGGGACTTCTCAATTTATGTCTCTTCAGGTTTTTCTTTCCTCTCCAACTCCCATTCCCATTCTTTGGGATCCAGCTTACAAGCTCTGGCTTAGCTTTCGAAGACAATTGGAATCCGTAATGAAGGTACAAGAATTACACATTAGTTATTTACTAATATATAATACCATGTTGAATAGGAGATGATGTAGTAGCTAGAATAAGAAATGCTTTGAGCAGTTCTGGCTCCATGTGAATACAGGAGATCTTGAGCCGGCATTTGTAATGACAAAGCTTGCATGCAGATGAAATGCAGGGTTATTGGGATAGAAACAAAGATAGATAGATCAAGGATTTATTTTAAATTGATGATTTCATGCCACCTTCATTGGCTTAGACATCCATTAAAAGGGAGTTTTGCATATCTAAACATCCATCTTGTTATCCTCCATGAACACTGCACGCTACTCCCAGAAACTGGCAAGACAGGTGGAACCAAATAATTACTATTCCCCCTCTCCTACCCAAGTAAAATCCCCATATTTTGAGGTGCTGAACGAAACCAATTTGGTTCAATAGGTCCTTACCTGTGCAAAAGTAAAGCCAACACCAGTTCCTCTAATAACTGAAAAACATTCTTCAATCCATGCTGCCAGCATTCTAGTACAACCCTATATATACCCAAAACAATATTGAGTTGAAAGGAAATTAAAAGCTTGCATGGTTGAGAAGAATATACAGCAAGTGATTTCTAAAAGTTTGTTTCATCAGTACATTGATTTGTAACATCCTTACCATTGTATAAATATTTGCTGTTTGATAGGAAACACCTCTCCCACAAGACTCAGTCATGTTGATACAGCAGCTCACTGGAACAGACAAAGTTGCCTGCCCAAACGTGGTCTTAAACCAGTCGGTGTAATTGTTAGAGCCACAACAAAGAAACTGTGGAGACAGAAGGAACCTTCACAAATCTAGCACCAGAAATAGAAGGGTCAAACACACAAGCACAAACTTTACATACACTTGGTTTGAGGCACACATTGGCAGCAAATCTGATCTACCAAAGAAACACCACATTTCTCAGCCACCTCATCTTAGACTGGAACCACAAATTAAAATTTCTGTACATAATATTCCAATAACTTGCATTTGATAAAATGAACAGTAAGTTGTATATTTATAGTAAAAGTTGAGATGTTCAGTATTCAAATCTGGGACTTGGGAATTAAATTGGCAGTTAGAATTTTCTGTACTCTAGTAGGCGAGATATCTATATCCACTCAAATTAACTAACAAGTGCTGTGCCCAGCATAACCTTGAATTGACAATTGATAGGGGAACATGTTATTTTTGCAAGTTTGATCAAATTCCATGTAATCATGCAGTGATAATTGCAGGGCAAAGCAACTTTGGCAGTATTCATATCAATATCACACATGTTTAGCACCTAATTTGGGCTCCTACCCCACTCTCAAAAAAAAACTCAATTAAAGTTGCTCAAGAGAAGACCTTATAAACAGAGTCCTTAATACCTGAAACATAAAATAAAAGGCAGTTTAAATTCTTTCATATGACATAGGCATAGCTGGCAAAGCTAAAAGTTGTTATTCATTGCACACAACCTGAGGTGTTGGAGACACCTTCTTGAATTGTTGTAGTTCATCTGGTGCAGTTAAACTCATTGTACTATTAGGGAGGCCATTCCAGCATCTTGATCCAATGAGGTAGTGAAAATATTACGTTGTTCCAACTCAGAGGTTTACCATGGTTTGGAGGGCAGTCTGAATGGTGTTCCCAGGCATATGCTGCCCTCTTGCTAGGGAGGCAGAAGTCATGCGTTTGGAATATGCAGGCAAAAAGAGTTGGTGAATTGTTGCAGTGCATCTTGTATAAGGTATATACCTCTGCTAGTAGTGTGTGTGTCAGGACAGAGGGAAATCAATGTTTAAAGTGGATAGTTAAGTGACCAGCAAATTGGATGTCGATCAAATGCTTGTCCTGAATGGTAAAGGCTCTTCAATGTTGTTGGGAGTCAACTCATCTGGGCCAAGTGAAGAGTATTCCAGATGTACACTTTATACATGGTGGCCAGGCAATGGGAACAAGAGGTGAGATCAGTTCTTCAGAATTCCTAGCGTCTATTCTGCTCTTCGCGCCATGGTTTTTTCTAGTTGGTTTAGTTCAGTTTCTGGTCAATGATAACTCCCAGAGGATTGAATGAGTCTGTGTTAATAATGTCACTGAATGTCAAAAACAGCATTTTGCTGCCATCCATTTCTCCCAAAGTGCATCAGTGACTGTCCCTGGTAAGCCCACACTAACCTTGCACACAAGGTTAGCCATCTTCTAGTTCAACAAGAAGGGTCTTAAGCAAGAGGAGGTTTATCTTTACAATTGACATGTTAAGGATCAGTTCTACATTGCTCAAAAGAATTGGAAGGACCTTGCCTTCTGTCTGTCTAAGGTCATACTATACTCTACATTCCAGTCCTCATGACATCATGCAAGAGAATTCTTTCACTCAAATCAAGTAGTAACCTTTTCAGACCCATCTACACAGACAGATTCCCTCTTGTTGGAGACAGTCATTGCCTAGCACTTGTGATATGATCATTTGCCATTCACCAGCCTAACCCCAAATACTGCACAGGTCTTGCTGGGAAAACAAAAACAAAGCACTTTTATTTCCTGTATAATTTGAATGAAGTTGATGTGCATAAGCATTTGCGAAATAATTCAGATCACAGACAATTGCTCTCTGGCAAAATGTTTATAATGCCCATCATATTCTTTAGTAACTCCAAATGATTGGAAATAAATTTTATTACAAGCATAAAATTTACAGAAGCAAAAATATTCGTAGCACAATATTTGAGTATACACTTTTCACAATGTTGCCTCTGCCATCCAAGGCAACTATCAATTCATTTGGAGAAAAATATTTATACAATCTGAAAAGTGATAAAGGTTCAGAAAAGAAAAGTTGAAAATAGACAGTCGAGCCTCTGTAACAGACCCACTCTCAATTCTTTAAAGAAAAAGGAAAAAAAATGTTAACATCTTTCCAAATCAAAGTGCAGACCCAGAGGTTTTAGAGAAGCCAGATAAGTGAGTGCTTTTTCTTAAAACTGCACTAAACATAGTTAATGGAGTAAGACATTAGAGATTAGAGTGCAAATGGAAATAATAACGCAGCAAGCCACAAGGAGGACAGGCTCAAATCTGTACTAAGCATTTCAGTTCAGTCCAAAACTGAGTGTTTAATGCAGTTGTAGCTCCAGTAGTGCTTCTGTTTTCAGTATAACATTGGACTTGGAACAGGAGTTTGGAATATCACTCAAGAAGATCATTGCTGACCTGGTTGTCATCTCAACTCCACTTTTCTGTTTGCCCTTATTACCCACACCACCACTCCTTTGCTTATCCAAAAACCTAACACTGCCTTTAATAAATTGAATGAATCTATTGCCTCCTGGGAGGAGATTTCCACAGGAAATGACATTTTTTTCCCCCAGAAAATCAAAAGTCTTTCATATAAACCGTGGCATCTCACTCTATGGGTATCCATTCTGTCAAGTTTTCTCAGAATCTTGTTCTGATAAGATTACCCCTCACTCTTCTAAATGTTAATGAATAGGCCCAGCCTATTCAATTGTTCCTTACAGGAGAATACTTGCATCAGAGGATGGAGTCAAGTGAAACTTTTCTGAACTGCTTCTAATGTAGTTGTATCCTTTTCAATAAAAGGAGACCAAAACTGTTATATGGTACTTCAGATGAGATCTCACCAAAGCCCTGTACAGCTGCTGTTGAAATTTCCAGCCTTTTAGGTTTCATTTTCCTTATCCAACTTAAAAAAAAACTGCTGTACCTGACTACTAACTTAGATTTGTGAACCAGGGCACCCTGATCCCATCTGCCAAGTTTATTTTGCAAACTCACAACCTGTGTGCATCTTATGTAGACACCAACTCATCTTGACAACTTGCTTTTCTATACCCATCCTCGTGTCTTTGGCAGAGTTAGCTCCTGTTTATTTGGGTCCTAAACCCACAGGTCAATATCGATTGTGAAGGAGTTGATGCAGCAACACAGACCCCTGTAGCCCCCCACCTGTCACAGCCTGCCAACCTGAATACCATTATCCTGACACTTTTAGACATTGGACTGCTTAATGTGTTGACCTGGATATGTCCTCTTATGTCATTCCTGCCTCTCAGCAATGTTAGATCGTTGCTCACAGATGCCAGTCTTCAGCCAATTCCATTCACTCCATGTTGGAGTGATAATGGTGTAGCCTAGATAATTAATCCAGAGATCCAGGTAATGTTCTGGGGTCCCGGGTTTTAATTCCACCATGGCAGATGATGGAATCGAATTCAAGAAAAAAATCTGGGATTAATGGACTAACGATGACCATGAAACCATTGTTGATTGTTGGAAAATATCCATCTGGTTCACCAATGCCCTTTAGGGAGGGAAGCTGCCATCCTTGTCTTGTCTGGACTACATGTGATTCCAGACTCTCATCCTGTGACTGATATTTAACCGCCCTCTGGGTAAAAAATGCTGACCTAGCCAGTGATGCTCAAAAAATCAAGAAACACTAGATACAGCAAAGACAATGGGCCTGATAATAGTCAATTATTCCAAAACATGCCATACTCTTAGCAGAGCTGTCACAGTGTAACATTGTGGAACTTGCCCAGGTATGTCCTGCATACAAAAAGCAGGACCTGGCCAATTACACCCCAACATCTATTGAGGGTGTAGGCTGTTTCCTTAAGCCTGCCCTCAAAGTCTTAACAGCCTCTTTCTGCCAGGCCACTGGATGATGCGTAGTATGGAGCTGTACTTAAATGTCGAAAGCCATTCAACTTTAGAAAATACTCAAATTTCCTGCTGGTAAATGATCGCCCATTACCTGTGACAAACACATCCAGGAGTCCATGTATTGCAAAAGACATGTGCAGTTTTTATATTGCTGTCCCAGTGTTTGCAAATGAACTCTATGCACGTATAGCCACTTTGAGCAGGTGTCTACAATGACTAAGAATATTGAGCCCATGAAAGGACCTGCATAGTTGACCTGTCACCTAGTCTAATATTTACCCAGCCCTCCCCATGAATACAGGGGAGCCGCTGGCTGTAATTTTTGGCACTCTGGACATTGCCCTACCTACATGGCTATGTCTGCATCCAAACCTGGCCATCAGACATATCTTCCCTTTGGAAACCCCTGGATTACCCTGGTGGAGTTTAACCAGTATCTGTCTGCAACCTTTGCTCTGGACAATCACTCTTGCTCCCGTTAATATACTGTTCTCGACTGTGATCTGGTCTTGTGCGCTCCAGAAAGGTTTTAATGCTGGTTGTGACAGCCCTTTGGTTTCTCCCTTCACCACCAGATCTGTTTCAGTTTTGCTAGGACCGGATCTTTCTGCATCCGATGTCTGATGCTGTCAGCTGTGACTAGAAAACTTAAAACCATTATGGAGTCTTCCAGTGGTAGAACCATTGGTGATGTATCTGCCAGTGCGAGGTGACTCAATGCATCTGCATTTGCTACTTGGCCTCTCGCATGGTGTGCCAACTTGTAGTCATATGTACTTAGTATTAGAGCCAACCACTGAATTTGGCCTGAAGGTACAGCAGCGGGTTGGGGGGCACTGCCTTGTCCTCTAAATTGACATAGCAGGGATTTGTGGTCTGTTATTATTATTAATTTATATCTCTAAGTGTATTGGTGGAACTTCCTGACTCCAAATATGACTGCCAAACCTTTCTTCTCTATCTGGATGCACTTACACTCTGCATTAGCCAAAGTCCTGGGTGCATACGCTATTGGGCGTTCCTCTCTTTTGGGCCACTTACGAGCTAATACTACACCAATGCTGTACAGGGAGGCATTGCATGTCAATACCAGATCTCACCTGGAATCATAATGTGCCAACACCTGAGAGGATGATAGCTGTTTCTTCACTTCCCTGAAAGTGGTGGCTTGGATACATGACCATTTCTAAGGCTGACCCTTTTGAACAGCTGATGCATAGGTGGGCCAGGATGGGGAGCAGGTTATGTACAAACTTTCCATAATAGTTCACCAGCCCAAGGAAAGACCTAAGCTCTGGTACAGACATGACCTCGGGTGCCTTTGAGCACCCTTGTTTTATCTTCCAATATGGGTGTAACCCAGTCTTGATGACTCTGTAGCCCAAGTAGGTCACTTGTGTTCCATGCACCCCATTTTTCCCCTCCTAAGGCATACGCCTCACTGGGAGAAACATCTAAAAAGGACGATGCCCAAGTTCTCCAAGTGCTCCTTATTGGTCTTCCCTGTTATTAGCATGTCATCTCGCTAAATGGTGACTTGGGGGTAGACCTTGTAAAATGTTTTCAATAGTCTGTTGTAAAATGGCACAGGCTGATGATATCCCAACTGGCAGTCTTGTTTTTTGGTACAAGCCCTTATGGATATTAATTGTTGCATACGTCTGAGAATCCCTATCTAACTGTAACTGCAGGTACGCATGGCTCATGTCCAGCTTCGTGAAGGACAGCCCTCCTGCCAGCTTTGTGTATAAATCCTCTGAGGGGGACTGGGCATATATCAAGATGGGAGAAGCAGTTTATCGTTTAAAATGCCCAAAAGTGAGCCAACCTGTTGGGCTTCACAAATTGGTACGACTGATGCCGTCCATTCCACAAACTGTACTGGGTTGTTAATTCCTTTGCTTTCCAGCCTCCTATTTTCTGCCTCTACTTTTGCCCATCAGGCAAATTACACTGGGCAGGCCTTGCAGAAACGTGGAATTGCTTCCTGGTCAATATCAAAGGAGCCAAGGCCATTTTGCATGGTCCCTAGACCTTCCTGAAAAACCTCCAGGTATTTAATTAGGACTTCATATAGGCAGCCATTTTCTAAATCTAAAAATGTTGAACCCACCTAGATGAATTTTTCGCAACCAATTTTGCCCCATCAAGCCTGGGCCCGAGCCTTTTACTGCACAATCAGTGGTAAGTGAACCAGCTGCTTCCCATAAGAGACTGGAGCCAAAGTTGTACCCTTAATCTGGAAAGGTTCCCCGGTATGGGTTCTCAGTCTAGCCAAGGTCTTGTGCGAACTTAAGCGCTGGAGTTTGGAGTCAGTTTTATTAGACACTGCTTCTGTGATCACTGAAACAGCCATGCCGGTATCGATCTCCAAAAGAACCGGGTGATTATTTAACTAGACATTTATTTTGATTGGTTCGGATTTGGATGTGGCCAAGTAATTTAACTGTTCCAAACCAGAGGTAGGTGGATTTTCCAGGGTGTGCACTCTCCAAGATACCGGCCTTTGAGGTTCTCTTACTCAATTTAGGTCCAGTGGGACTCTTTTGCTGTCTCAAGTCAACACACTGGCAGCAATTACAATGGCTCGTCGACCCAGATCCCACTCTTGTCATCACTGAAGTAACTCCAGAGGCTGGGACCCTACCCAATCATCCCTTATTTACATGTGGAGAGTCTTTGACACTGATCCAGCTCCCTCAGAGCCAGCTCTCAGAGTGAACAGGATGTCTGACACCCCTGTGCTTTTGTCAGCCTGGGCTCCCTGATTGGACCAGATTAACAACCCCAATCAGGGAACTCACTCTATGAGGTACGCCTGGCTGACCTCATTACAATTACCACAGGCACTCAAGAAGAAACTTGTAGTTGTTGGAGGTCCTGGAGCGGAGATGATTGATATCTCTGCAGGAGATCTTCAAGGTACATATTTTAAACCAAACTCTTCAGACATGTTTTGGCGTGCATCTAAATAAAGTCGACTTGAACCTATGCCTCCTGGCTCAAAGGAAGGGTCACTAACACTGTGCCTCAACAGCTTCCTGTTCCTCGGGGTAGATACTTTCCAGTCAACCTATTCAGGGAGATGCTGTTATACACTCTGGAGTAGGGTGGATTTGAACCTTAGTCTCCTGGTGCAGGACAGGGGCACCACCACTATACCACTAGAGCCCTCCAGTTCCTCAGGGCATGGATCATTAAAATCTTCTGGTTTGGACACAACTCAGAGGGTGGGATTTGAACCCAGGTCTCCTGGCCCAGAAGTAGCAACACTCCTGCTGCATCACAGGATCCACATTCCTCAGAGCAGAATATTTTCTACTCAAATGGTCAGGATGTTATTGCATACTTCTTCAGCAGGTGGGACTTGAACCCAGTTCCTCCTGGCTCAATATCCTGGATTTTACCTCAGCACTACATGACCCTCAGTTCCTCAGGGTAGTGTCTAACCATTAGCTGTTCCAATGACCTTCTCACCACAACGTCAGGTCAGAAGTGGGAATGTTCACAGATGACAGTTCAATGTTCAGTACCATTTACAACCCCTCAGATACTAAAGCGGTCTATGCCCAAATGCAGCAAGACCTGGACAGTATTCAGGTGTGGCACCACATTCACATACACCAGTCCCACCACTGCCAAGGCTCAACAGCAGTGTGTACCATCCACAAGATACACTGCAGAACTTCCCCAATATTCCTTAAAAGCAACTTCTAAACCCATGACCACTACCATCTAGACAGACAAGGGCAGAAATGTGGGAAACTCCACCACCCACAAGTTCCCAGTCACACTCTCCACCCTGACTTGGTGGAAAGACATCTCGTCCTTTCAGTGTTGCTGGGTCAAAAACCTGGAAATCCCTCCGTTATGGTATAATAGCTTTATCTACAGCAAATAGACTGCAGCTGTTCAATAAGGCAGGTCACTATCTTTGCAAGGGCAATGGGCGATGGGCAAGAAATGCTGGCCCAGCCATTGACACGTACATCCCATGAAGAAATAAAGAAAAAATAAAAATCAGCATTAGTGGCCATTTCTAGGTCCTCTCTACACTGTTGGCTTTTCTTTAAGGTACTTCATTAAATGGAATTCTTTGACCAAGCAAATCAGTTATATTAACAAATTTTTTCATATGGTTCTGTGTTGTATTTTGTTTTATAATGCTCCTGTGGAACTACTGATATTGTGACATTAAAAAGGCATTATACAAATACAAATACAAGTCATTAAAATCAGCAAGGGTCTAGGCCCGAAACGTCAGCCTTCCTGCTCCTCTGATGCTGCTTGGCCTGCTGTGTTCATCCAGTCCTACACCTTGTTACCTAGGTTGTTAATCTGTTTTCAACTATTTCACCAGTCCTGTCTTAGCATTTTTACAGTGTTTCTTATTTTCATTTTAAACATTGTCCTAATCATGCAGTTCTAAAAACAAAAGAAACAAAATTAAAAAAAAGAGCTCTCCCATGCTGTACACCACCTTACATGTTTACAGGTTATTTCATTATTGCTTTTCTGCCCAACTACCACTTCATTGCATTGTCACTTAACAGATTTTACGTAAAAGTTGTCCGAGTAACCCATCAACACCTGCTCCCTGACTGGATCATTTTCGATTTCCTCGACCCAAGCTGTAAGTTTACATAGCGGCTTTGGTATCACTCTCCCTTCAGAAGATTACTTGCAAGCAATGAAGGTTTTGTTCCCTCTGCAGAGTGAACAGCATTTCCTGTATTTCTTTGGTTTGGTCAATCCTTAGCGGTTTTTTTGCTTTCAGGGTGAATTGCAGAAGTCATATTTGTTAAAGCACCTCGAGGTATTTTTCTCTGCTAATTACAACTTGCATTTATATAGTGGCTTTCAAATTATGCCAGCATTCAAATGTAAATATTAATAGACAAATCACCTTTTAGAGAAAACATTTCCATTTCAAGGGGCATTCTTCACTTACAAAAGACAAAAATGTAGTCTTTGGCACTGAAGTTCTTTTGCAATTGTCTGAAATCTCAGACACAGTTAGCACTGAAAATCCTTAAGGCAGTGGTGAATTTGGCACCAGAGAACTATTGTGCTAAAAATTAATTCACAATCATGGATTATTACCAATTGTCACAGAAGTATCAATACAGCTATGAACTGAAAATTTACAATCTTGCTATAAAAAAGGTTATCTCCTCTCCACATGTGGGAAACGTAGCCTACAGTTTTACTTCTTTCAGGGTGCAGCACATAGGAAACATAGCAACAGGAGTAGGTCATTCAGCCCCTCTAGCCTGTTTCATCTATCTCAGATTTAAAATTAACAACTGATCCTGCATCCACTGCCATTTGAAGAAGAGAGAGTTCCAAACTCCTACCACCCTGTATGTATAGAAGTGCTTCCTAACAACTATCCTGAACAATCTGGCCCCAGATTCTCAGACTATGTCCCCTACTTCTAGAATCCCCTACTGGTGAAAATAGTTTCTTTATCTAATCTGTCTATTCTTGGAGACTTCAATCAGATCACCCCATAAATTTGGGGAAACCAGTCAAAACGTGTGTAATGTCTCCTTATAACTCCTCTAACACATGGGAGCATGAACAGCTTCTCAAATCACAGCACCCAAATCTGCATTTAAAGTAATCCAACCTCACGGACTTTGTTTGAACTAGACAAGTGATACTACTTGCTACACTCCCAAAGACTGGTTAGCTTCCTTCAAGTTATAATATCAATGTTATAATAAAAAATGAAAACAATACTAGTTCTTAGGAAAAACTCCAGGTTTTGTTTTGAAAAACCACAAATACCATCAAATTCCACCTTCCCAGATCAGTTTAAATTCCAAAAGGAAAAAAGTTCTCAAATGGAATGCAGACAAAAATCTGTGAATAGAAAAATCCTTCTAAACAAGTCAGAAAGCCAAAAAGTTTCCTACTATTCAGAGATGTACGTGGCATTGTAACATATGGAAAACTATATTTTAAACCTTTATCTGCAGTTGATCTATCAAACCTTCCAGTTTGGACTTTTCATGTCCATGAACAGATTTTGCGTATCCACGAATGGACTTCTCAAAGCCATCTGTTATGTTGTTGTACACCTATTAAATAAGATAAGCAAAGACAGATAAGTTTCTAGGAAAGTTATCTTCAAGAAAGAAAAATGTAAAATTATGCCACAACATAGGACAGATCCAATCCAATTGTACTGCTTCAATAAAAAAAGGAGAACTTGCCTGGCTCCTGAAGACATATGTAAACACCTCAACAGCTACTTCCACAAGGCAGACCAGAATCATCAGAATCAGAAACTGCAGAAGAAATTATGTTGCAATGTAATCAACTGATTCCAACACTTACCCAAGTAAACCAGTTTTTTTTTTTAAGGTTAGCAGTTTATTTTTGTATAGCAGATTCATGTGTTTACAGATAGATTATGAAATTTACAATCAAAAAAATACCAGGAGAGAATTCTTCCATACATTTTTAAAAACGGTGTCGTGCAACGTATTCACTTAGAACTTAAATTACTAATTTACATCATTCTAATGTATCTTGGAATATTGGGGCTAAATATTGATCAGGAATTTACCCATTACAAATTCAGCCATTTCTGACAGACTTGTGCTTAAACCTTTCAAGTTGGAAGAAAGGGAACCTCTATTTGATGTGATACACTAGTGGAGAGTGTGTGTTATGTCAGACAAAGAAAACAAGAAGAAAACAAAAATAAAACAAACAGTCTCAGTGTGATTAATGCAGACATGTGGGTTGACATGATCCTGAAATGCAAAGATAACCACTGGCTTCTTTTCTCAACTGCAAGTTGGTTTCATAAACATATTCTTCTGCCCTTTCAACAAGCACAAGGAGCTCATGGCCTTCTTTAGCAGCAAGATCAAAACCATCCTTTCAGCTACCTCTGCTGTGTGTCCTTCAGTTCCAAAAGGGTTACAGCTCTAAACTTCCTGTAATCCTCTCAATGTCCTAACATCTTTAGTTTCTCCAAATGCCCTCTGCGCATAGTGTCCACAAGATACTTCCCATTTCCTGAAATTTATTGTCACCAAACATCTCCTTGTTCCCGCATTAACTGATATCGCAAACAACTTCTTAAAGACAAAAATCCTGATATTTAACAGTTCCGATATTCACGAGTCACTAGGTTATTGTTATGACTTTTAGGAAGCAAAATTACATCCTCACCAATCCACCTGTAACTGATGTAACTGTCCATGAGAGTGTCAGAAGTGACTACTGCACAGCTTTTGGAGACAAAGACAGTATTTACATTGAGGATCTCCTCTATTGTGTTGTGTGGTATGACCAGTGCTAAATAAAAGACTTTGAACAGATGTGGCAACTCATGACTAGGTTCTCTCTGAGGCACAGTGAATCATCAGAATTGTATTCAACCATAACCTGGCATATCATCCACGCTGTGCCTCCATGCCAGGGGTTCAACATGGATTCCAAGAATGCAGAGTGCAAGAGGGCCAGTCAGAAGCAGCAGTGGGTATATGTGGGTAGGGAAATTTACCATACTTAGCTGGGTTGGTTTACATGTGACTTCAGACACACAGTAATGTCACTTACTCTTGGCTTGCTAGGCCATTTCACAGAGCAGCCATTCAGCTGAAGAGCAATTAAGGATAAGCAACAAATGCTGGTATTACCAGCAATGCTCACGCCTTAGGAAAGGAAAAACAACATTCAGACCTCGACTGATGTGGTGAGTAATATTTGCTTCACAAATGCCAGGCAATGACCACCTCCGATAAGAGAATCCAACCATCACTCCCTGACATCCAATGGCACTGCTACCAATGAGTGAAATAATTTTCATTGGAGAATGCAGGAGGATTTGTCAGGAGCTGCATCAGGCATAACCAAAAATCTGGTGAAGCTAAAAAAATCCAAATAATGTCAGCAAGAAGTGATTGACAGAGCCAAGTGACACAACTAATAGTTCACATGTAAACTCTGCAATCTTGCGTCATCCAATCATCAATGGTGATGGACAATTAAACAACTCACTTGGAGGAGGCTCCACAAGTATCACTAAAATAAAGCAAAGCACTGTGGATGCCAGCAATCTGAAATAAAAACAAATTGCTGGAGAAACTCAGCAGTCTGGCAATATCTGTGCAGAGAAAACAGAGTTAATATGGAATATAGTTTCTCCAGCAAATTGTTTTTGTTCCATAAGCATCACCATCCTAAAGTGATAGGAGAACCCAGCATATCAGTGCAAAAAAGGCTCCCTCCAGAGGTCCCCAGCACCATAGTTAGTCTTCAACCAATTTGATTCACTCCATGTGATATGAAGCAAATATCTGGAGGCAGTGGATACTGCAGAGGCTCTTGGCTTGGACATTCTGGCAACAGTTCTGAAGATGTGTGTTCCAGACCTTGCTGCACCCATAGCCAAGCTTTTCCAGTACAGTTACAACACTGACATACACCAACAATATGGAAAATTGCCAAGGTATATCCTGTACACAAAAAGCAGGACAAATCCAACCAAACAAATTACAACCCCAGTCTACTCTCAATCAGCAGTAATGTGATGGAAGACATCAAAGCTATCAAGCAGAACCTACTCACCAATGCTCAGTTTGGGTTCCACCAGGGCCATTCAGCTTCTGACCTTATTACAACCTTGGTCCAAACATGGACAAAATAGAGCTGAATTCCAGAGATGAGGTGATAGTGACAGCCTTTGACATCAAGTCTGCATTTGATCAAGTGTGAAATCAAGGAGCCCTAGCAAAACTGGCATCTTTTTGCTGGTTGCAGTCATATCTGGCATATAGGAAGATGACTATGCTTGTTGGCGGTCACTCATCTCTGCAGGAGCTCTCCTTATGTTACCCTCCTAGGCCCAACCATCTTCAGCTCCTTCTATCATAAGGTTAGAAGTAAGAATGTTCACCACTGATCACACACTGCTCAGGACCATCCACGACTCCTCAGATACTGAAGTAATTCATGCCCAAATGCATCATGTCCTGGACAACATCCAGTTTGAAGTGAAAAGTGGCAAGTAATATTTGCGTCATACTAAAGCTAGGGAATAACCATCTCCAACAACAGCCTTTGTATCACTATCACCAAATCCCCCACTATCAACATCTTGGTTATCGTTGACCAAAAACTCAACTGGACTAGCCATACAAGCATCATCATTGTAAGAGCAGATCAGAGGTTAGGGAATCCTCCTAACTCCCCAAGTCCATCCACCATCTACATGGCATTGTCAGGAGGGTGATGAAATATTCCCCACTTGTCTGGTGAAGTTCAGCTCCGACAACACTCAGGAACCTTGATACCATCCAGGATAATTCAATTTTTTTCACTGGCACCTCCATCACTGTCAACATTCACTCAAATGTACCATTGATGGAGGGGAAGCATAGTGTATCAGGTACAAGATGCATTGTAACAAACTTCCTATGGCTCCTTCCAAACCCATTACCTTTACGACCTGGAAGGACAAGCACAGTAGGTACATGGGAACACTACCATCTGGAACTGCCCCTCCAAGCTACACAATCTGACTTGGAAACATTCCTTCACAGTCACTGGGTCAAAATCCTGGAATTCCAATTCTTAACAACAGTTTGAGTTTGCCTCCAGTAAATGGTCTGCAGCAGTTCAAGACAGCAGCTCACCACCCTTTTTGGGGGCAATTAGGGATGGGCAAAGAATGCTAACTATTCCAACTCATCCCTGGCTAATCGCTCACATTCTACCTTCTAAACTGGAGGTCATTCAAAACCCTGCCTCCCATCATGTTCAGTGCTCCTAGCACCCCTGCACTTGCTGCTTGACTGTGAGATAATGTGGGTCAGCATTTTGATTTTAACATTCTTATGCCAACTTTCAAAATCCCTTTGGTCTTACTCTTTCTGTAAATTGCCTCCAATCCACAACTCCGAGGAATCAGTATTCCTTCACTTCTGATCTTTATTGCATTTCCCACTTTTAATCATTCCATCAGCGTGACAGTGTCTTTTGTTACCTAGATCACAGGCTCTACAACACCTTTCAATCGCTCAGTAACTTGCTTCGTCTAAGATAGGCTTTAAATCCTACTTTTGCCCAATCTAGTTACCAGTGCCATACTTTATTTTATAATGCTCCTGTGAAACACCCTGGAACTTCATCACATTAAAGGTGCTCTATAAATACAAAGTTGTTGCCAGGGTTGGAAAGTTTGGACCATACAGAGAGGCTGAATAGGCTGGGGCTATTTTCCTTGGAGTGTCGGACCAAGGGGTGACCTCATTGAAGTTTATAAAATCATGAGAGGCATGGATAAGGTGAATAGCCAAGGTCTTTCCCCCAGGGTAGGGCAGTCCAAAACTAGAGGGCATAGGTTTAAGGTGAGAGGGGAAAGCTTTAAAAAGGGACCTTTGGGACAATTTTTTCATGCAGAGGGTGAAGCGTGTATGGAATGAGCTGCCAAAGTGGAGGAGGCTGGTACAATTACAACATGTAAAAGGCATCTCGATGGGTACATGAATAGGAAGGGTTTACAGGGATATGGGTCAAATGGGACAATATTAATTTAGGATATCAGGTCAGCATGGACAAGTCCGATCATCAGGTTTGTTTCCACACTGTACAGCTCTATAATTCTGCTTTTTGACAGTCATAGACTTTTACAACAATAAGAAAAGGTTTTTAAAATCTTTAACATTAACAAACTGTATCCAAGTAGAAAGTTAACTGCCAATTCTGTTCTTTCATTTAAAAGAAACTTCCAGCTGTTTCTTGTAAACTGTAACATGCAAACTGTACAAGTTTGTTTACTGCATTTTTCTGGGGAAGCACACTCCATTACCAACAGCCTAAAATTTCACGCAGAAGTTCTCTGTTTAAAACGAGCATTAAGTTCAAAGAGTTGGATGCATTTGAGTTATGGAGGCTTTTCAGCATATCCTAGAAAGACTAATGAGGATATGCTGGAAACAGCTGGAGAAGAGGATATTTGTGTATATAACATCAAGGACAGAAGGAGAATCTCAGACACATCGTTAGAGTAGATGGTAAACAGACAATTATTGGAGAACAAGATTTATAGAAAAGAAGAGCAGGAGAAAAATAGATGATGTCATGAATTGGAATTGATTGACTGAACGTTAAAGGGCAACACAGGACAGACAAGAGGTGGAGATTCACAGTAGGGAGGTGACATCACAGGACAGAAAAGTCTGGGCAATTCTTCCTGCAATACATATTTTGCAAAATCCGAGAGGGGATATATAGAATGTTTTCTTTTATCTCAAAGCTTACTGGCTAGAAA